AATTCCGGCCAATTAGCCTTTGTAATGTAGTTTATAAATTAGCTTCTAAGGTATTGGCTAATCGAATTAGGTATATCTTACCAAACATTATTTTTCCTTCCCAGTCAGCTTTTATTCCAGGCAGATTGATCACTGACAATATCTTGCTCGCTTATGAAACTCACCATCATCTTAAATCAAAATCCTCAGGGGGGTGGGACTTATGTCCATTAAGTTAGACATGAGTAAGTCGTTTGATCGGGTTGAGTGGTCTTTTGTATGTTCTGTCATGAAGTCATTAGGGTTTAATGAGTCCTTAGTTGATCTGATCTATACTTGTATCTCCACAGTCCACTTCTCTTTTCTTTTTAATGGTGATGAATTTGGTACCTTAACTCCACAAAAAGGCATTCGTCAGGGTGATCCTTTATCGCCTTATTTGTTTATCTTGTGCTCTGAAGTATTCTCATGTATTCTACAAGATCTCCAGGCTTGTAGTAAACTACATGGTATTGCGGTATCACGGAATGCTCCAGCCATTTCACGCTTATTTTTTGCAAATGACACGCTCTTGTTTGGTCATGCTACAGTGGAGGAGGCTACCCATATGAAATTTGCTCTCAATCTTTACGAACAAGTTTCGGGTCAGCGTATTAATTTGGATAAATCCGGCATTATGTTCTCTCCTAATACCCCTGCTGAGCTCAAGAATTCCATTTGTGGTGTTCTTGGAATCCCTATGGTTGAAGAACATGGCAAATACTTAGGCCTTCCTTCTATCATTGGCCGCAACAAGAGCCTTCTGTTTTCAGCCTTGAAGGATAGAATCTGGAAGAAGCTTTCAGGATAGAAAGAACGCAATTTATCCAAGGGAGGAAAAGAGATAATTCTCAAATCGGTCATTCAGGCTATCCCTTCCTATACTATGAGTTGCTTCAGTCTGCCGGATTGTCTTCTCAAGGAGATCACGCAAATGATGAGCTCTTTCTGGTGGGGTGACAATGGGGATACTAGGAAGATTTGATGGAACTCTTGGAATTCGATGGCAAGAAGCAAGGACTTAGGAGGCTTAGGTTTTCGGGATTTGAGATGCTACAATCAAGCTATGCTTAGCAAGCAAGCATGGAGGTTTCTGACCAATCCTTCATCCCTGGTTGCAAAAGTTTTTCAGGCCAAATATTATCCCCAACAATCATTTCTGGAGGCCTCTTCTTCTCTGCAGTCTTCGTGGCTATGGAAGAGCATAATGGAGGGCAAGTCACTGATTGAAGTTGGAGTCCGTAAACGAGTGATGAATGGACAGAATACTCTGATTTGGGGGGGGGGGGTGTGGAATGGCTGCCGGAAGCACCATACTGGATCACTTCTCATCCTTCTATTCTTCCTGCCAATAGTAGAGTCAGCTCATTGATTGATCCACCTACGGGTTGGTGGAATTTCTCCCTCATTTGTCAGCTTTTTACAACCAGTGAAGCTCACCAGATCATGTCCATTCAGTTAGTAAGCATGCAGTCGTCGGATTTTTATGTCTGGTCCCCAACAAAGAATGGTATTCACTCTGTTAAGTCAGCCTACTATCTAGCTTTGAATATCCATAATCCGATGCCAGCAAGTTTGAACTCCCTTCAATTTCCATGGAAGCGATTATGGAACCTGTCTTTAAGACCACGTGTCCAGCATTTCCTCTGGTGTTGTTTGAAAGATTCCCTCCCTACATCTGAAAACCTTGCTCGCCGTCATCTCAGGTATGAAAACAGATGCTGCTTCTGTGGGATGGAGGATTATAGCACAGTTCATCTCTTCTTTCTGTGTACTATTGCGCAGCAAGTTTGGAGCTATGCCAGCTTTCTGGATATCATCATGCGTTTTCAGTGCCCTGATTTCCAGAAATGGTTTGGGGACTTGTTGTCTTCCCTGGACAAGGAGAAGGCTCAGTTATTTGGGCTGATATGTAATAGCTTGTGGCATTCAAGAAATTTGAAAATATTTGAACAGAAGGATTGCATGTCATGGGGAATTCTTCTTCAAGCTGTTATAACATTGAAATCCTGGAAAGCTTCAAGACAGGAATGTCTTGAAAAGGCTACTATGGGTCTGAATCGGGTTTTTTCTCCTGCTCAGGGCTCAACGTCAGTTTACTTTGATGCAGGAATGTCATTCTGGAATAAGATTGCAGGAATTGGCATTTATGTAGCCTCTCCAGAAGGTTCATTCCTTTTTGCTTTTGGCACTCATATACACAATGTAACGGATCCTGAGGTGGTTGAGTTGTTCGCGTTAAGAGAAGCTCTTCGGCTTGCACAACGACTGAGTCTTACACATTTTCAGATTGTTGGGGATTCTCCGAACGCGATTCTCATGGCTCGAGGCGATGTGGAAAGCTCTGTTTCAGCGATCCCAATTGTTCAAGACATTAAGAGTCTTCTCCAATGTTTTCCTAGTCTCAATATTTATTGGATTAATAGATTAGAAAACTCCATAACTCATAAAATAGCAGATTATGCTAAGTCTTGTAAGGTACAAGACACTCTTTGGTCATCTCCACCGGATTGATTTTCCATTAGTTCCGGATAATTCCAGTTTAATATATCTTATCCTTTTCAAAACAAAAAAAAAAAAAGAAAATGCCTCCGTCACTATTTTTTTACACCGTGTGTTCTCAATTGTCACTATGAGAATCATTTTCTTTATTACAAGAAACAGGGATTTACCAAAGCTATAGTGTTTTCGTTACAAAAACTATTGGGCTGGGCTTCATGTATGGAAAAGAAAAAAAAATAGAGATCCACTTAGACAATACACCGTGGAAGCCCAAGTTGTTGATGAAGTTTTCTAATTTAAGAGAATTTAGCCCCTTACAAACACAAATTCTCCTCAAAACAGTTGTTCTTCTCCCTAAACCTCTCTGAGTAGGGTTCTTCCACAATTTCTCCATCAGAATTCAGAAGTATATTCATCAAGGTTCATTGCTGTCTTCCTCTTTCTCCTTGTTCTCATTTCGATTAATTTAATCTTTTCCTTGTTTCAAACATTGAGTTTATATCTGCTGATTATTATTTGAGCTGTCGGTTGAAAATAATTGATTTATTACCTTAAATTTGTTTCTTTTCGTGATTCTCCGTACTGTTATGTTTGTTTTGGGAAAATATAAGATTATTTCAAGTGGGTTTGGTTTGACTACTGTGATTACTATTGGTTTCGCCTGGGAAATGCTGGTTGGAAGTAGAGATTTTCGTAGGCGGAATATTTCTCTCATGGTTTCCTTCTTGAATTTAGTTCTTGAAAATTTAGGAAGTCAAAACTCTTAATCTGTGATTACTTTGCCTTATTTGATACTTGGCTTGTTTCACACTTTTACTGCAAAACTGGAGGCTATTCAGGTGAAATGAAAAGCTTGAAGAAATTTGTAACAAATGTGGAAAAACGGCTCAATATCCAGAAAGTTTAAAATATCAGCATTTGATTTCTTATGTTAGTGTATGATGCATAGTTTTAAGTTTATTATCATTTTGCGTATTGCTAATGAAGTGCACCTTGGCGGGATCAGTGCTACTTACTTTTGAGGCCACCATTTCGCTGGCTGTGAATATGTAAAAAATATTCTTGGCTTTGTTCGTTGTTAATTCTGGTTTTTGTATGGGTTGATGCTTTGCTTTGGGTTCATTAAATCTTTAGGATGTTCGGCTTCACTGTGTTCATAATGATGGGGTTGAGTTTTTGGTACGGGTTGATACATTTCAGTGGTATCCATTATTATCGATGATGTTAGCATTTTGCTCTCTTCTCCAAATTTTTCATTCCGTTCCCTCCTAAAATGTTTACATAATCTGGGAACTTACTTGTTTGCCTCTGGAAAGAAATGAAAAAAAAAAATTATGCTAATTTTTCATTACTTCACGCATTTGCTGTGGACTTGGCTCCCTTTTCCAAAGGTGTCAATTGAGGCTTTTTCTCCAGGTCATTTGGTTGTGTCAAATAATAAATTCGTCTAGTTCTGTATGCTCAATTTTCATGCTTTAGGTTCTATCTTTTTGTCATTTACATTTTTAGTAGGCAAGAGATGAGGTTTGGCTTTACTAGAGCTTCTGTTAGTTTTCGCATGAAATGAAATTGTTAAACTTAAATATAGATGTTCTTAAATTGCAAAACTGAAGCAAATTAACTTAGCTTTGTGGTCTATACATTGGAAAAAACTGTTATGCCATTCCTTGCTTTGAACTTCTTCAAAGTTTTGTTCCAGCACTTGCTGGAAGTCACAAGATTTGATAACTCTTTGTGGCCTTTTTCTGCATCAAGCATTAGCTACTCCTTCAGATAATAGTCTTATGTCTACTGCTATGTGAAAGTTTATGAAGCTTCTATTCCACAAATGTGTAAAATATTTTAGTTTAGGTATCTAGAGGAATCTCGTTTTTGTATTTGCACAATATGTCACTTGATAACTATATAAGCCCTGAATTTTCTATGGTTCTTCAGTTAGTCTGCATGCTTGGTTACAGACGAACCCATCCGACTTTATGCTGTCCAGAACTAGAAGCTGAGGTTTTTACGGCGTGCATGGGCTCTGTCTCTTTAAGCCTTATTGCGATTAAGCTGTTTGTCACACATTATAATGATAAGTCCAACAACATATCCCCTTGGGCTTGTACCTCCGTAACCAAGAATTAACTGATGCTGGTCTAGTGAAACAATTTACTTCAAGAACATGAACTAATTATTGGATCAACCTGTGTTACCCAAGTGTAATCTTTCTCATTCGACGCTTGACGCTGGCACATGTAGCCATGCCATTGCTTGTCAGACTCTGATGACAAACAGAACTTTGAATTATTTCCTACTATGCTTTGCAGTTTAAAACTTACAGGATATGACTAGTGCAAGCTGTCTGATTTTTAGTATGTGAATTTTAGTAATTCTTATTCAAACCTTTAGTCGTGACTCAATTTATGAAGTTTCTTGTTATTATATGGTTGGTGATTCCTGAATTGTTTCTGTAGTTTGCAGAAAGGGCATTTTATAAGATGGCTGGTCTTTCAGCATTTTACGGACTCGCTCCCAGAACCAAGAATTTGGTTGTTGCTGGCGGCTTGACAGCATTTGTGTTTGGTGTGTATTTCTACACGATGAGAGCTGTTGGAGGTACAGATGAATTGCAAGTAGCCATCGATAAATTTGAGGCAGAGAAACGCAAGACTGAGACTTGAGTTAAGCTCGGCTTTCCAATGCCATTATACTCATATACCTAAGAGTATCGTCACTGTGTGAAGATCAAATATTTTCTCCTTGTAAAACTCTTTTAAGTGAGCAGTTTCGTATGTTAGCAAACAGTAGGCATGTTTGTGAATTGAATCAAATTTGTCCATCAAAATTTGTAATGATTAAGGGAATAGTTCAATTTCTGACATCCGTTCCTGTCCAGTTCTAGGATTAGGACTCTTACTGAATAAGGTTCACTACATGGTGATATCATATATGCTGATTAGAATGGATCATTATCATGTTGTACGTGCTTGCAACTTTGCCTAGTGTATATTGCCGCACAACTACGAATCAGTAAATACATTCAAACTGTTGCCACCCAAAGATTTGACAATGCTAGCTCCAAACGGTTAACCATTCCCCATGAAAAGGTGAATTGCTAGAAAAGCACAAGACTACAATTCTTTGGACGGCATGAAATGATTGTATTTGGCAATGTGCTGAAGATATATTGTAAGTTATTATTCCTTCAGGTACATTGTGTTCTTGAAAATGTACAACTCAATATAGATTTAATAGTAACACAGAGACCACTATCCTATCTAATCACTTATCATAATGTTAGTACAAGGAACTTAAGGTAACAAAAATGAATCAGGGCTCATTTTTTAACTAGGAAATATGTCTGCAATATAATTCACTGGAAGGGGGGAGTATCAAGTTATCTACTCGGTCATGGAAAGAGCATTCTTCAGTCTACCAACTAGAGATGGCAATGAATTAACGCTGTCCTGGACTGAGTGATCAACACATGACTCTAAATTCTTTAAGGCACCACTTGTGTCCCCTTGGAGCCTTGCTTGCTCAAATTTATCCTGGCAGACCATTAATGATCTGTTCAGCCGTTCCTGGATCAGGTATTGAGATGCTTAGAAAATCCTAGCATACAAGAGCAATTGCAAACAGATACAGAGGAACATGCAAGATTTGGTCGAAGGCAAGTATTGATTACGGGTGGGAAATAAACATCGCTACACAAAAGAGAACTAGACTTCGTCCGTAGCCAAGTATACATTACATCCCACAATCCAGGTAATCACGTTATAAAGACAGATTCTGCAGACAATGCTAACATGTGTCATAAAAATAAGACACGTTATATCCTTTGCTTCCATGCATTTGAGGTGGAAAATTAAACTCTTTGTCCAGCTTTGAGGTAAAGGAGACAGGTAAGAAAGCAACACACTGTTCACGGTAAGATAAATATCCCTTTTATCTCAAGGTTATTATTGCCCCCACCAAACAAAAAATCAAATAATCAAGGAGAGAGTCATATGCATGCTGCATAGCAAATACCATATCATAGAACAAAACCAAACATGCCATCCAAAGATAATCTACCTATTTCACTACTGTTGGCTCCATCTTAGCTGCAATCATTCATATTTGCGTGCATTACATCAGATTCAAAAATTCATCAAACACAAAAACTGATATCATGGGTAATTTGCACAACCAAAGGCAAGGAAAAGGAAAGAACCTTAGATTTTCTAAACGCAATTCTCATTACACATTCAGAAAGTAAGGCTCCTCAACAAGGAGAGCAAACCAAAAGAACAAAAGCCATATACAGATTGCATCCCTCAGATTCAAGCAGTATCATCAACTTAGTCAGACAAGGCTGAAACTTTTATAACTTGTTTCATCATTGGGAGTTGCAACACAGTAAAAAGGAAAAAATCCAAGCCAAAATCACATCATATAGTTTACATCAACTTAGTCAGACAAGACTGAAACTTTTATAACTTGTTTCAATCATTGGGAGCTGCAATAGAGTAAAAGGGAAACAATTCAAGCCAAAATCACATCATATAGTTTAGAAGACAAGTGTTAAAATTACACGAACTGCAGTCAAGACAGCATAAACAAACAATTATATATTGTAATTAGGGAGATAAAGTGTATGCTACTTGATAACATTCTTGTTTAGAGAGGAACAGGCTTATCTTCATTAAGGAAATGCAAAAAGGAGAAATTTACAGACTCTGCAAATAAATAATATTTTCGCGGGGGGGGTAGGGGGAGGGGGGTTTTGACCAATTGAGGTGACCCAGTGTTCCTCACAACTCCCTCAGATTTAAGAGACATTTTCATCAAAGTGTACTCAGACAAGGCTGAAACTTTTATCTTTCATTCAATCACTGGGAGCTGCACAAATGGATTTAAAAGAAGAGGTTGGAAGGAGGGGGTGTGGGGGACAGTAAACAATAGGAGTCTGTCTAGCCTAACAACAGCACAGACCAAATTGATGCACAACAATTTAAATAAAGTGGGGATAAGACACTGGTGAGAATGTATTAGTAACTGCTTTAGGCAAATTTATTACATTCATTTCAAACCATTTTGAAGCTCTGAAGGTCTTTCAACAACCATTTTGAGTTTAATGTAACAAAATTATGAACAGAAAAAATCAAGGACAATATATCGCAGCCATAGAATAACTTAAAATTAATAAACAAAATCCTATGGCACGAGGCGGAAAAAAGGAAATGGTGAAGACTATTTCAGCAGAGTGCACAACTCCCTCAGATTTAACAGTATTTCATCCATTTGATTCAGACAAGGCTGAAACTTTGATTTTTGTTTCGATCATTGGGAGGTACATATGACTGAAGGCAAAGAGAATCCGCAAAAGGACTTCTAAGTCTGGTAGTAAACATTGATACATATAAAGGTACCTAAATAAATAGATAGAAGAAATAAATGGAAACCCAAGATGATAACCACAAGGGTTACAAACGGATTCAATAGAACTACCAGAGGTATAGAGAGACTTTTTTATCAACAACATTATCTATAAAAGATTCAATAGGATTACAAAATATGCAATTGTAATAGTAATTGGTTTTTCATCTCCAAAAGCAAGGATTTGATAATTTTCAACCATAAGACCAGAAAACACTCACAAAATACAAAACAGAAGAAGCAAAACAACAACACATAATTCTCAACACAAGCAAAGTTCCAATGTCCAAACTAACATAGTCAATAAGTACTATTAACACCCCAAAACAACACCTTAATAAAGGTTTCAAAACAGATTAGATGTTGGGCTCAGAAAGACAACCTGAAACTTGGCCATTTCCCCTTCAATAAGGTTCTGCGCTTGAAGAACAGGAACACTACAATGCTCCACACAGTTGCTTATCTCGTCATTGGTTCTCGTCCTTTCAAAGCACTCGTATGCACACTTAAAATAAGCTCTCTGCAATCCACAAATCCCACAATTAATAAAATCCACACATTCTCTTCTTTCCCAAAAACAATTACAAAAAATCCCACAATCTATACAAGAAAACCCGACACCAAATTAATATTAGCAGCAGTATAAATATTGAAAAATCTGCATTTTATCAACAAATGCAGCAAAAACCACAGCACAAATCCATTCAAATATCAATCCAAGTAAAGGATGTAAGAGAATCAACAGAACAACAGACAGACCTGGAGCGTAAAATTGACATGATCTTGAACAGAAGCGAGTTGAGACTTAGCAGCAGAATTGACTTCATTCAGTTTCTGCCGCATTCGATCGTTGACGATTCGTTCTTCAGCTGCTGCTATTGCGTCCATGGTTGCTGGGTGGCGTTTTTTTCATGGGTTTTAGGGCTTTTTATGTTGAGGGGTTAGGGTTTTAGGAGAACAGTTTGTTCTAAGAATAAAACAAATGTCTTTATATTTTATTTTATTTTTCTTGAAGGAAAAGCTTTGTCTCTTTTTCTTTTTCTTTTTTTTTTTGTAGGGGAAAAAAATACAGTAGTAACCTTTTAAAAATATGTAAAAGTGTTTTGAATAACTTTTATGGCAAGAATAAAGGACTTTTTGTTTAGGGACTATCAAATAAATTAATTGTTTAATTAAGTAAATTTAATTAATCCTTTCTTAAAAAGAAGATATAATAACTTTTGTCACTAGCTGGAAATTCATTTATTGCTACGGTTTTGGGAAAAGAAAACTCAAAGTCATCCTTATACTTAAATAAAAGGCACAGTAGGCAAGAAATAATGCCCAAGAAATATTCAAGAACTATCGTCAAATCGATCTTGTCCGTCGGATAAGGTTGATGTGATGTCAGCGACTTATTAAGGGCAAAAACGAGAATTCAAAAATTCAGTTTACTCCAATTAAAAAAAACTCGTAACCTTTTAAAAAAAACAAACCCCTAACCTATAAAAGGATGTTGTTTCAGGATTTAACTTTGGAATTCCCACTCCCGAAAACAATATATTTACAAAACCTGAAAGTTTTTTGTTAAGAAACAGCAACAAAACGACTTCATTTTGTGGGTTTTCTCTAGGGGAAAAAAATAAAAAAAAAACAAAAAATAACTCACACAGTTTAAAATCTCAAAACAACCCCCGTCATTGTTCCCAACTTTTTTTCCCACTAATAACCTCCATAAGGATGTGCTCCGCCTACTCAGTCAGGTCCCTCTTCGTCGATTCAGCTGCCACTGCCGCTTCCCTCTCTGCATCCTCTGCGACCACTAAACCTCGAAGATATATTTTCCTTAAATATACTTCTCCAATTCGTACCATCCCGATTCCACCTCCACAAATTTAACCAAACAAAAACCCTAAATTCCACAGGAGTCACCCCGTCGAAGAAATTTTGCAAGAATGGCTTCCTACACTTGTACGAGATCGAATTCGTGGGGGAGCAACTGCATGTATTGTATCACGGTGGACATTATGACGGAGGAAGCGAGGCGGAGCTAGGTGTTTGGACGGAATAGGATTAGGAAATTACCTTTTTATTTGATTTGGAGTTGTATGTGTAATAGGACTAACAAATTACTGTTTAATTTTTATTTATATATTTCCATAAATTTGGAATTGTAATATGAATAGGCAATTCAGTTCCTCTCTGATTCCGGATTTGTTTTGGGATGAGAATAGAAATCCCCTGTCGGCCAGCATGTCTATAAAAACCCCTAGCAACATCACAACTAGGATCACAAAAGGCTTCCTTCTTCAGCTTACCAGTTTCTTTGATTTCTTCGTCTTTGATTCAGGTAAATCTTTTTTAACCTTTTAACTTCTATTATTTTTTTACCTCTATACGGTAGAGGAAGCTTGAATATTTGTAAAGATTTTTCTCTGGTTCTTTTCCAAATCCTACAAACAGGTATTAATTTTGATTTCCTTATTTTTTCCGGTTTTGAAATTGTGAATTTGTTGTTAATTGAGTGAGGTTGTTGATAATTTTAATAGTTTGGAAAATAATAGACTGTCTTGGAAACAGATATTGCAATGGTTCGAGTTGCAGACTCAATTCCAGCCAAATTACATAAAGTCCCCTTCTCTCACATGATATTAGCACAAAGGTAAGGTATATGTTTCTAAATTCTTTTCCCTACAATTAAAGGACCTGATGGTGTAGGATGTTTGGAATATTTTTTAGAAAAAACTCTAATCACAATGGCTCTATATCTGAAATTTGATTATCATGGGTTTGTTCACTTATTGTTGTCAATAGAAACGATTTATGTTCTGGCTTCTAGAATAATTTCTGCTTGTCCTTGGGAGAACGTTTTTAAGGAGTTATATTATTCTCTAGAGGTAGATCATAGTTAGACGAGAGGAAGCCGAAAAGTTTCGACTTGTGGCATGAGATTCAGTCAGAGGTTCTTGGAGAGACAAAATCATGTGTTAGAAAATAGATTTTGTTGTGTTCTGATTTTGTGGGATTAGCTTTACCTTTTTAGACCGCTGTATATACAGGTGAACTACATTATTGCTCAAGGTAAATAAATATATATATATATATATATATATCAATTTTTCCAGGCATTGAACTCTTTTGTGGGTTTTACATTGTGCATGTGATTCTTGATGTTCTTCTGCTATCTTTCAGCACCACTGATGATAACACTCAGAGCCGATACCTTTTAGCTAATAGATAACTAATCAGGATAAGTTTCTCATATCAAAACTTGTGCCTGGGTTTCAATGATTAATTCCTCATACAGTTTATTCAACAAGTCATAGGACTTGTATATTGATCTATTTATGGTTCTTTGACAGTTCAGTTAGATTATTTTTCTGTGCATACATAAATTTGATATAGCCATTGGATGTTATTCCTCTTCTGCTAACATGAGTTTTATTTTGAGATTACCATAGATGAGGCTTCCATGTCGATTATTTATTGGAACTTTTCTTCTTCACACACTGTATAACTTTTACATGCTTATCAATAAAGTAAATCTTTGATCACTCAATTGTCCAGTATAGTTTTTGAATGGTAGAGTACTTAAGGTTTTGGGTACTTGTGTTTTGCATCATTGGTATGATCTGCTTGCCCTTTTGTTAAAAGAAAAGTTCAACTTTCTCTGCCAAGTGAACTGGTAGCAATGTCCAAGTTGCTGCTTTAGCAGAATCTAGAAATAGACTGTATTGCGGTATTCTATTATTATTTCATGTGATCTTTTTTGTTTTTACTGAAGAACTTACAATCTCTAAGTTATAATATTACTAAATGTTTATGGTTTCCTCTGTCTGCAGATTCCGATGTATGATTGTCTCAAGAATTTGTATTTTAAGTTTCTTTTTGTTATTTGAGCTACTGGGAATCTAATAAGGATCATCGCAGTCCTTGATCTGCTACCTTCTTTACAATCCAAAACTTCTAGCTCTCTGCCACTTCCGTTTGGTGAAACTAAGTTGTGGCAAGGCTAAAGTGGATGTGAACTGAAGTAGTAGATTCAGAAGCAGTTCGAGAACATCAGTGCGCTAATGCACTATGTTAGATGATAAAAATGTTGCCTTTGGGAAAGTTACAGGTTCTTAGCTGTGATATAACAATCTAGATTTTGGCAAGTAAAAGGGAGGCCAAGTGATATGGGTACTATCCCCTGCTGAGTACTTGAAGCTTCTTGCCTCCAACTTGAAACCACAATCTGATAGAATAACTAAGAGGTTGGCTAGGATGAGATTTGACAGCTTTCTGTGTCTGAGAATTGAGTTGTGATAAGTAACTTAATAGTCACCTTAGTTTTTTGTTCTGTTTTTATTTGTGAAATACTACAAGTCCAACAATTTTGGCCCTCACTTTAGATACGATGTTGAGTTAAAAGTTTATTATTGCTATTGAAAAATAGTCATTTGTTTCCTATCATTGAGGTAACTTATGCAACATTACCAACTTTCTTTGACTGAAGAAGTTACAGTCTCTAAGGTAGATTGCTAACAGTGATAGAATAAAAGCTATCAAAAGCAAATTTTAGTTTTTGACTTTTTGGCTAATTTTATCTAAAGTTACTCACACCCTCTAACTTTGCAAGAAAATTATCCATGCGTCAAAATTGAAATTGAAAGACCATATTATCGAAAAAATTAAAAATTAAAATGGAAAAATCACAAAATTAAAATAAATCAACCTACTTTTTCTAACACTTTCATGGAAGCACGTGATATATTATACAAGTACTAATTTGATCTTCTATTTTGTTTCCTTGCTTTTTGATAGATTTCTTAATCATTTTGTGGGATACTGTATGTATTAGGATAAGCAACGTAATAATCCCATCAAAAGAAGTATACTTAACAAAGTCCTATAAAAGCATGTATCTACAACTATTACGCGTTAAGATAAATTATTACTAATATTTATCGTAATAGAGTTAAATGATTTTAAAAAAGCACTTGTCGCGCAACGCGCGACATGTAAAAGACTAGTCAAGACTGAAATTTGAAGGAAATTTCAAAAATCACGTAATAACATAATAGAAAAACAAAAGGTAGTTTAGTTTTTTATTTAGAAAGTATTATAGTATAGTGACCATTTATGAAATTAAAATAGTTCAGCGATCAAAATGAAAGATTTTACAATAGTATAACGACTAAACACAAGACTTTACAATAGTTCAGTAACCAAACGTAACACTTTACAATAGTTTAGTAACCAAACACAATGAAGACTTTACTATTTCAGTGACCAAAACGAAGACTTTACAATAGTGTAATGACCAAACACAACATTTTAAAAGGTAAATTAAAAAGTTGTTTGAATGATTTTTTTTCCATTGAATTTTGTGTTTAACAGGTAAAATGAGTGAAAATAGAATATGAGTTCTCGGACAAACAAACACTTTGAAGTTAAGTAGTAGTATCATCGGTATTCATTAAACAAATCTATTATGACTGTCGCATTACTTTTTCTTTTTCTTTTTTTTCGTTTTCCCTTTTCACATATCACTGTGGCCACCGTAAAAAACGCTGATTAATTCAGAGCTGCGTTATAGGCAATTTGATGAATAAATTCCATCTCCGCATATTAACAGCACATTTTTACAGTTGCTCATTTCAGAAGAGTACAAAAGTTAGCAGGGCTTGTCTCAAAAAAAAAAAAAAAAAGTTAGCAGGGCTTGTCTCAAAAAAAAAAAAAAAAGTTAGCAGGGTATAGAGCCATTGGATTACTGCTTAATTAAGTACTTCTAATGTACAACTAGCACTTGGCCCCGCTGGACTAGACTAACAATTCACCTAAATAAATCCTAAACCATCATCTCCCATTATGGGGCAATCACTGGCATCATGATCGAACTGGCCGCAGCAAGAAAACGAGCGTCTTCTTTTCCGGCAAACATCTGGTCCTTCGCTAGATATCTTATCTTTCAGCTTTGTGAGAGGTTCATTTGCAGTGAAACGTTGAGCTATACAGTCAGAATCTTCAACTTCTGGTATGATAAAGGAGTCAGAAGGGCTATCATACAGAATTTCATTACCATCGCTTGATCCTCCAGGAAATCCCTGGATCCGAGCCAGGGCCAAACCAACTTGATCACAAGCAACATCAAGGCGTTCCTGTGTTTCAACTGATTCTGCAATGAGTTTAGATATCACGGACTGGAACATTTGGAGCTTTCCTGAATAGTCATCAGAAGAGGAAGAGGGATGCGTTTTTGATGGAATCAAAGAAATGTCACTCCACCTATGGGGCAAATATTGGTCTGGAACGCGAAAACAGTTGCCAGCCGACAAAACACGAAGAATGTGTCTGCATAGAATGCCTGTAAACTCAAAATTACGGCAGCTACAGCTAATAAACTCATCACATGGGGCCCATAAAACTTTGCATCCTCCATCAATTTCTATATGGTGCCTGACAATGAAGTAATTCTCATCGACCATCAGGGATGCATATTGTGGGGCTAAGATGAGTTCTTCTTGCAGCTTGCCAAAGGCATATGGTGTGAGAACTGTAGCCACATGTGACTCAATTGGGGAACCTGTTTTCAGCGGAAATCTCTGAACCTTCCTATGCAACTTTGCACCTGCTACATCTTTAGCATCAACAGCTGCAGCAACCTGGATCAAGACGAAGAAAAATAATCATAATAATGAAATCTGTCTAGCATGGAAAGAAGTTGGAAGTTTAAAACCTGCTCAACAAGATCATCCACTGCAGATTGAGCGCTTAAGAACCGTCGGATAAAGGAATTTATCGACTCTGAATAACATGTACTTGTCATCCCCGCAAAAAAGTAAGATCTCAAAAAGGATGTCGCCCAGAACATACGCAAAGCATACAAACTGACTATATGACTATTGCCTTCTAGTCCAAAAGTCTCAATCATCTGTCTCCATCCTGCTTCAAATTCTTCGACGGAGTACAAATTATAAAGGCGAATAAACTCGGTTTTCCAGTTGTCATACTGTGAAGCAAGTAAGCCAGAGAACCATTCAGAAAACTTTGAGATGATATGCCAGATACAAAATGCATGCTTGCTCCTTGGCATTTCCACGGCGACTGCTTCTTTCAGCCACATGTTTTGGTCAGTCAATATGGTCCCTGGAGCTTTTCCATTCATAAATCCCAGAAAGGTCTGCAAGTTGCCAAAAAAAAAAAAGATTCTTTTTAGAAATAAGAAGAACATTTTCATAAGTAGATCACAGCCTGACAAAAAGTGAATAGTGATCCCCAAGCATGGGAAAATGAGAGTCTTTAAAATTAGAACTACTCCTAATAATTAGTACCGATGCATACAAAAGCACAAAAATGATAAGACGAAAAATCTGCTGGAACTTCAAGAACCATACTTTATGTCACCATTACTAAACAAACTGTGATCAATAAACAGGATATTATCAGCAGATCAAATATGTGAAACTTGTCTGCCCACGTACCACATTCACCTATAATTATTCTCAAAGAAAATGAAGAAAGATCCCAAACACTGATTTGATTTTACAGGCACCACGCAAAACAGGCTTAACATTTCATAATTCAATCAAGCTATGGTTCAACTTTCAATGCAGATTAAGCTAAAACTTTAATTGCAAATCACTAAAGAATCTACGTGGAAATTACTTCGTACAAAATGAAAAGTAAGCTATAACTTCAGAGTAAAATAAAACCAAATATATTATACTTACCTTTAAAGCCCAAGAGAAAGATTGCACATTTTCGTCTCGAAGAAGTACACAACCAAAAAAACAATTGATCCCATGATTATCCACTCCAATGAAAATTCCCAGAAGCATATCGTAGGCATCCAAGCGATGGGTAGTGTCAAACACTAAAGCATCTCCAAAAGCATCATACAATTGGACAGATGAAGCATATGACCAAGCAATATTCTCTAACTGGTTATTTGCATCTAACTTGAAATCGTATTTGAAATTTGGATCCTTGTCTTTCTTCTCTTTGCACAACTTGAGAAGATCAAGGGGGTCGTGATCATGGCCTACATTTCTAATGGATAGCAGCATATTCCTCAAATCAATCTCACTAAATGGCAAATAACCAACTTTGACACCCTTTTCCAACTCCATTAACCTTAGCATCTGCCTGACTGACATCCCAGCTTTGGAAAACATGCAAATACGAGTCTTGTCATCAGCAGATATTGTGCAGTGGGAAGGAAGCAACTGCAAGTCATGTGTCTTCAAGAGTTCATGATTGTGGACATTACTAAACCCAATTATACGCCATTCGGGGACATCAAAATCAATTCTCTTCACAATTCTCATATGAGCTTGACAACCACAACGCGAGGATTTTCTATTCCTCTGTACTTTACCATCTTTGGAGGGCTTTATCTGGGCGTAGCCACCACGATGACAAGTAAAATCTCTTCTTGTCACTCCCCTACCAACACCATCTTTTCCACGAGTACGGTGACGTCTGATGGAGAAGCCATATTGTGTTGCAAAACTGGAGTAAAATTCATAAGCCGCATCCTGTGAGACAAACCGCTGGCCAATAAATGGGACAAGATTCGTGGAAGTCTGTCTAGACAAAATTGAGTCCTCAGGCATCTCCTCAATTGTTCCAATATCATCCTGCGATGATGAGTCATTCCCACTTTCAGAAGTCTCCTTCAACATTCTCGTAATTTCAGACGTAGTTTCCCTAGAGAGTTCACAGAAAAAGTAATGCCATGGTCCTTTAATCAACAGTGCAAACCCAGTGACTAGGGAGAACAATCACTATTAAGAAGCACCATTTTCTCCAGACATCTCTGGACCCAGATGAAAACCTGGGAGAAAAGTAAAAGCATGTGAACCGTAATACAAAGCAAGAAACTAAGAACAGAAACATCAAATCTAAAGGGTACAGATATGTGGGGAACAACAGCAGTATGCTAAAGCAGTGAACATAGCAAAAACTGTGCAAAATGCTCAAGAATGGAAGTTTGTATATTTCCGACGCGTTAAAATCTGTTGTCAATAAAATTTTAAAATACCGATTTGGCATCCAGAGATTTACCAGGAATCTATCGACCAGAATAAAATATTCTCTGTACTTCTAAATGTAATTCAAAATACATCTACAAGTCACTGCAATCTAATCAACGAAATATGATTCATGCTCACCTAGCCACTCTGTGTCACAGAAAGTTTCTCTATTGCCATTCTAAATCATTTGTAAACAGAGCAACTAAAACACAAAATAAAGGCTCTCCCATACAAGCAATTCAACGCTCTTCACTTTCGGATAAGGCTCTTCACTTTCGGATATCAAAAACTATAAAACCTAAAAATCGCATCCCTTCAACATCATCAAACCAAAATCATACAGTATCGGGTAATCCTCCCAAACCTCTCATCCTAACTGATCACCCTCACACCCCACGATATATTTAAACCCATAGAAACAGCTGGAATTTCATCCATTAACATCTTGTTGGGCATTTCCACCTCCTTCATCACCTCAAATGCCAGAAACCCCTGAAGCATCATCCATTTTAGAGTTCAACCAACATTCTTACTCATCCTGCTCTGCCTCTCCATTCCCGAAACACTAACAACTTATCATAAGTTCAATTTTAGATATTCCAATTAAGAAATCATATGTTGTACACTGCCCAAGAATCTACTTTAGTAGAAAACTTATCATATACACGTCACATTAGCTAATATAAATTTCCCACTAATAAGCGATATAGTCACATATGAAATAATTGCTGAATGTATAACAAGAAAAAAGTAAAACGGAGAATCGAAACGGCGAGTAACTAGGGGGAATGAGAATACAATTCCACAATGAATTGAAAGATTCTTGGATTGAACCTTTAGCACCAACCTAAGACACAAATGTCTTCAACATCATGGGCAGGGGGAAATGGTCGTCCATTACAGAATACGCCGGCGTTAGAGACAAAGGGAAAATGGTTCCCGGCGGTGGCAGATGCTGGCGGAGCGCGGCCGTCACAGGGATCCAGGCGGAGCGAAATGAAGATAATACTCCCGGAGGTGGGGCCCACAAAAGAGGGGAAAAAAACATTCTCGACTAATGTCATCTTCACAGATATTGCTTTTTTAACCCCCCGGAGAATCTAGTAATTAGAATCTTGATTCAGTCAACAGGTCAATCTATTTTTTTTTTTTAATTTTTAAATTTTTTTGTCCTGAGTCATTGTTTCAACTGGTCAACAGGTCAATCTTGATTAGCCGTAAATCTCTTCCAGGTGCAAAACGTTTCCAATAATTATTTTAATCACTACATTCTAAGAAATATATATACTCCGTGCATTATACACCCAGAAAAATAATTCAAAATTAAAAAAAATAATTTTCAATTTAATACTCCTTCCAGTCCAAAAAAAAAAAACATTAAATTTTAAAATTTGTAACAAAAATAATAAAAATTCAAAAACTCTTTTTTTTTAAGGATAGAAGAAATACAATAAATTGTCATCTACTGATCCCCTATCCATCCTGCAAAAAGTTATTTAAAAATTGGAATTAGAACAAGTTTGATCTCTTCACAGAGTCAAGTGTGGATAGTACTTAAAAAAAAAAATAATAATAAAAATACTTAGATTAATGAAAGTCGTGCATAAACGATTGACGTATATAGACGTACATGCTTTTGAATCAAGTGTTCATGCTGGTAAAATCTTCTAGCAATGCAGAGATTCTAATCATTTTGTAACTCATCTTTTTGTACCAAAAATCGTTCGAGGGATAACAGTTGTTAGACAAATCACAACTAAGAGAGATGTGTATTGAAAAATTTTAGGTATTTTGCCCATGGAAATTTTACGTAGTTGCCCATCTGTAAATTGCCGGCCAACATTGTCAAAGGGAATTTATTTTTTTCTTTTAAATGATTAATGGACAATGATGAATTTTTACAAGAATCCATGAACATTAGGGCTTTCACAATGGTAAGTGTATAGCCGATTATGACTTTTTATTCAGGCCCACATGTCAGATTTTGTTTTGTTTTTTTTTTTTTTTTTTGGTTTTGGGTGGTCTCCATTATATATTCATAAATTCTATTTCTAGGTTCAGATCACTCTCTTTCTCCTATTTTTGTGGTTTATGAATCCCTTTTACCCTATTAAAGTAGAAGACATGAAGCTTATGTGGCAACTACATATGCATCTGTTTTGGCTCCAATGCACCATATTTCAGATTTCAGGAGTCTTTTTGCCACGTGTAAGTATCTTTTAATTAGAAGCTATATAATTCTTTTTTTTTAAAAAAAAACACATGTTTTAGATGTGACCGAGTCCAATGAAAAAATTCTACAAATAAGAATCAGTTACATTTCAAACGAATGGATATATTAATTCAAATTCAAATGTCCAATCGTACAGTTTTGCAGGCTTAATATAAACAAAAAATAAAAAAACTTAAATCCAGCAATTAAGAATAATGTCTTATAAATTAATTATTTATTATTCCCTTATAACTTCATATTTATAGGTATATTTTTTTAAGCCCCAAACCATAGCATAAATGATATATACACCAAATTAATTCCTCAAAAAATAGTAATTCAATTAGATTTTAATAAAATAGTAATTTAGAAGGGGCGCCCGGGCATCTGCCTGGGCCAAACATCTAGTTTATGATTAAAGATGCTCTTAGTCCTATTAAGATGGCAGAGGAACTCTCGTCGTGCTTCATGAGTATGTTTTCTGGCTGTTTGAATTTGCTTTATGTAGAGTTTTAAAAGGAGTGACTGTATTTCCTTCATTTTCGAAATAAAAGTGATTGTAAGATGTTCAATCAATATCAAAATTTTATATCTATATTTTACGATATTATAAACAAAAACCACATTTAAGAGAAAGCACCACCATTTGCCACGTGGCATTTCCACATCATATTTTTAAAATAAATCTTTATTTTCACATCTCCTAGACTTAAAAGGTAAATGCAGTCCAAATCCACCTCCACCCCCTATTTTTGCCAAAACAAAAAAAAAAAAAGACGGGTTCATAAAAAACCCAAATCCTCATCCCCATCTCCATGACAATCAACTCTCTAATCAATCACTTCTCCACAATAAAAAATAAATAAATAAATAAATTCGTCATCAATCATCAATTAAGAATATGTGGTGAAATATACTCATTTTCTATTAGCATGTTCAATCTTTTCATTAGTGATGATCAATTACATCCTGATCAGATAAAATTTCGACTTCAAAAAATATTCTCTTTACCTTTCTATATAAACAGAAAGGGAAAAAAAATTCTCATTGATCTTGCTTCGACTGTTGTGGTGGTGCAATTACAGGTATTAAAATTTAAATGATTTTATTTCCACAGATCATTTGTTTGGCTTTTATTATTTTTTGTTTTTCCCGTTCAAGAATAGTGTTATTACTATTATTTTTATGCGTCCATCCGTTACAGCTACCGTAGCCGTTGTCATGTAATATGATGTGATTTCTTATATAGTTAGTTAGCCTAGAAGTTTTGTATGATTTTAGTTCTGTTTGGATTGAATTGATTAATTGAGTTTTTGTTACAAAGTGTGATTTTTTAAATTTCTTTTTAATGTTTCATTCAATTAGAGTGATTTTGTTTTTTTTAATTATGGAGTCTCAATTTTTTTTTCGTATATGGTCAGTTACGAAGTGTGTTTTTTCTTTGTTTAATTGTTTTTTATTTTGTTTCATACTCCCAGTTGACCAATTATTATTATTATTATTTTATTTTATTTGTAAATAAAGCGCTTTTTTTTTGTGTTCGAGCTTTCAAGAATATACTTTTTGAATTTTAGTTTTTGGACTTTTTTTAGTTTCTCATCATCTAAATAGTTCAGATCGTTTCTTCTAACTAATTTCTGAGGAAGCCTTTTATGAATTTGAGGCGGAGAGGGAAAGAATGATGTTTCTACGTTTATTTGTATTTTTATACAATATTTTTCCCTATAGGAAAAAAATAAATTTCTCAATTTTAAATGGGTTATCTTTTACTTTCTTTTTTTTTTATTTGTCATGGTGAGGTGAGTTCTTTTTTTGTATAACTTGAAACCTATGCAAATTTACATTATTTTCATTCTCATATTTGTGATCAACCAATTTCATCAATTAACCAGTTTCAAAATCATATTTTTGATATTTTGCTACTTATAAACTTTTGGAAGAAATAGTTTCAACAATTAAGCGTATATCCTTGGGAGGAAGCTTACTACAAAGCTATTATAAATCTCCAAAACTAAGTATTGATTTGGCACAACCAGAAAACATCAATAAATTATCTTAATATTTGAACTTATTAGGATGCTTTTATATTTTGTCTAGCATTTAATTCAAGACATATTTGATCAAGTTTATTTATATTTAAGAAGTAACACTTATAAAACATTTCTAAAATCTTCAAACATTTCTAAAACGTACCGGGTCAAATACAATTTCTTTTTATGCCAAGTACAAACATTTCTATGATCACACTTATAAAACATTTCTAAATTTTTCAAAAATTTTTAAAATATATCGGGCCAAATACAAAACTTTTTTTCCAGATACAAACATTTCTAATATGTACAGATATATTGGGCCAGGGTCGCGCAATGCTCGACCAGACATCACTAGTACTAAGGCAAAAACCAGAGAGAGAAAACTAAAGGCATGGAGCACATGC